CGTCTCGTAAAACCAAACTTACCCCCAATTTATTTTTCTTCAAGCACACGTTCATGAAATCTGTTTTATCTGTGTAAAATAATCTTCGTGCTTTACTCAGTTTTCTCTTAAATACCCTTGGCCATGATAATTGACTGTAAAAGCGAGGAGAAAAAGAAGAGATTATAAACGCAATCTTCTAGGCCCTAACATATAACTTATTTGTCTCTTTCTCTCTCATCTGAATACCCTCATTTTGTCACATCTGAGTTTGGCTCTTTGTCAGCTACAATGAAAAGTCTATAACAAACATGAAATTTGAAACCTCTTTTTTCTCATCCCGCTATGCAATTGACGTAGATCGTTTTCAACTGTCATATATTGTCAAAACCTGCTCGCTTCATTTTCAATTTGTATTATTTGTTCTTTTATTTTGTCGGTTTCACTCTCAATATATTTAACGTCTTTTTTTTAATGTCTTCTGTATTGTATTTTCTTACTTCTAATCTTATGAAACGTTTTCTTTCATGCAATTTTGTTACTCTAATAAGAGGATGGATAGATGTGTAGGTAGACAAAAAGACAGTTAAATATTTAGTTAGATACATCGCCAGATTGGCAGATAAATAAGTAAGTAAATATATAGCTAGCTAAATAGTTAGATAACTACACAGTAAGATAAAAAGTCCGTTATACAGATAGTTAGTTAACTGCAGAGTTGTCCGAAAAGTTCTTTTCTAAAAGTAATTTCTTATCACTTCACTATTAATTAAGCTTTATTGACTATTCTTTTAATATTTTAGATGAGTCCACCGAGTTTTTTCTACGAACAAACTTAAGAAAAACTTCGCTCAACTCTATCATCCTGAATCGTGAAACAAAAACTTTGCCTTTTTTGCTCTGTTTCCAGAAAAAATTATGCAGCAGTTCTTTCCGATGGCTTTTATTCCCAGCATAAATCTGATTTCTAAAACATCTAGATCTTGAATAGTCGTTTTATAGACATTTATTTTGATATATTTTTATTTAAAGAAATCCGATGGCGTCAAATGAGGTTACTGTAAAGTCCATGAGATAAGTTCATCTCTTTCAGTTCACTAATCATTGAATCTTTCGATGAGGCAGTAACAATCTGTTCTAAAGAAAGTGCGTTATTCACCATATTATGCAAAGTCAATTGCAAAAACAATTATCATATATAGCTTTGATAGTCTTTTATGAAGGAATATAAAGGCACTTTTGACATTGACAATGTCTTCTGACTAATATGAAGATGCTAACTAAATTATCATGAGTAGAGTTTTATTTTTTAGCAGTAGGTCAATTAACATGGATATAGGCCGTTATGCGTTGAAAAAACGAAGTAATAATCATACTTTTTGTAGATAGCTTGCTATTGTCTCATCGAAAGATTCGATAATTAATGAACTGAAAGAGATGAACTCATCTCATGAACTTTTCAGTAACCTCACTTGACACCATCGGTTTTTCTTAATCAGAATATATCAAAACAAATGTCTATAAAACGACTATTCAAGATCTAGATGCTTTAGAAGTCAGAATTATGCTGAGAATAAAAGCCATCGAAAAGAATTACTACATAAATTTTCCTGGAAACAGTCGACAAAAGGCAAAGCTTTTGTTTCACGATTCAGAATGATAGATTTGAGCAGTGTTTTTCTCAACTTTTTTCGTAGAGAAAAAATCTCGGTGGACTCCTCTAGAATATTAAAACAATAGTCAATAAAAGTCAATTAATCTTGGAATTATACAAAATTGCCATTGGAAAAGGGCCTTTCGAACACTACGTAGATGTTCAGGTAAATAATTCGGTCGGCATCTAGGCAAGTGGATAGCTAATCAAATAGTAAGCTACTTATGTAGATAAATGGTTGATGTCCGTTGCAGAGCTAAGTGGTGATATGTATTTTGTGAATAATTGCAGAACAACACGAGCTAAAGATTTTAAGTTTTTAGCATGGTGTACAGTCGATAAACTACTTAGTTCTTTCACTCTTCTTGTTGGACACATAGTAAGCTTTGAAGATTACTTTCATCCGATCTGGATAAAGAATGACTTTCCAATTGTAATATAATGGTTAAAAAGTTTTCTTAGATCGTCAAATTTTGAAAAATTTTGATAGATAATCTTGAGTGAGTTTTTTTTATACCTTTCGAATGCGAATAGTCAGAGATCTCGATCTTATGACGATCGATAGAGACGACCCTGAATTTCCTAGTCTTAATGTTACAGTTTAAAATTTACCTATTACTCCGATTGAATAGTGGTCATTTTTTAAATTCATCATATGTTAAAGAAGAAAAGAAAGAAAATTGTTTGTTCACTATGTAAACAGATACGGTAGCAGTGTCGACTCTAGAGAATACTAAAAATTCGCAGTCTTCAGCTCTGGTTATTTTAAGTTCTTCTTAAACTGCTCAGGGGTACGTAAGTCTGAAATCGATATTAGCTAGATTGACAGATGGATAGATATATAAGTAGTTATATATATACTTAATTAATTAGCTAATTGGGTAGTTAATTAGATAGATAATTAGTTAGAAAGATCTGTACATAAGTTAATGGATATTAGAGTCCTGCAGGAACGACTTTTTCCCGTCCCGTTTCCCGCGGAAATTGGGAACGGGAATTCCCGTGGAGATTTCAGGATAGGAACACGGGAACGGGAAAGATATAAAAAATATGCATTCCCGAAAATCCCATTTAGTAATTCTGTGCGCCCTAAGGTGTGTTCCTGTAACTAACCTTTATTTTCAATGATTATATTCATATATAATTAACAAAAAAAAGCAAATATCTATCAACAAAATTGTATGAACCTAATCTGTGTTCATTAAATTCCACATTATAGCAATGATCATCTTCTTTATCATTATCATTGAAAGTGCGAGCATCAAGATTATTTTACAATCCATTAATATTATCATCTACCTCTTTTGAAATTTTGACTTTTCTCATTGTTGTTGTAGAGGTGTAACTATTCATTCTTTTCCCTTATTACTCAACTGATGGTGAAACTAATTCTATTAAAGTTGATAAATTTCAACGCTTAAATAATAACTGATTTACTTTACTTCTATGCAAGCGTGCATGACGACTTCTTATTCTATGTCTACTGTTCGAAAAAGGACGGTCTAAGGATAGATTAATTGCCGAAAATACACATCAGTCATTGAGCTATTGTAGTCATTATAGAATAAACTATTTATTATTGCTTCAAGATATTGATACGTTCATGTCTTGCTCCACGTTTATCTGATCTTCAATGTATCTGCTGAATTCAGTCTTTGTTGCTTGATCATCCTGTAACTTATCTGATTATATTTGCACATACCTACGCCCTCAGAATATGAATCAAAAATAATTCAAATTGATAGTATCGACAATAGATAAATTCAATTTCAATCCATGCAATAGAATTTCCTCAAAAGTCATCAAATAATCGATTTTTAATCGATTATAATCATACAATTAAAACCTTAGCATTTTATCTGGAAATGATTTCTGTGTGATTATTTCAGCTAAAGCGCTTAAAAATAATTGTATGATTATAATCGATTTGAAACCGATTATTTCGTGATTTTTGATATTTCTTTACATAGGAGTATAGTTTATGACGATCTATGTTACATTCTGAAAAACGTGACGCTGCGAGAAGTTAATATCAGATAATGATAGTTTCTTGAAGTGTGAAAAATGAATTAATGGAAGGAACCCTAAAACCCTTACGAGAAACGGGAACATAAATATAAACATAAACATATACTCGGGAAAACAATCGGAAACGGAAACAAATATTTTATTCACGAGAATAGGAATGCGGGAACAGGAACAAAATTTTTTTTGTCGGGAACGTGAACGGAAAACGGGAAGGAAAAAAGTTGTTTCCGTGGGATTCTAATGGATATAGTGGTGAAGCTATCGATATGAGTAACAATTATCAATACTATATGAGTGACTTACACGGGCAACAGTATCATGAAAAAAATCAATCGAAAGAAGCCTGAAAAAGAGAAAAAAATAATGGGGCGTATAAGTGTATGAAAAGTTTGGACATGTCAGAATATCAATTGCGGTTCGTAATTGTGAATCAGAAACGTTTACAAATAGGTAGGAATGAAAATGACTTAGAATCTGTAACGCAAAAATTGTTAAAAAATTTAGCAAGTGTCATAAGTGGTAGTTTTCATGCGGCATTTTCAACAGTGGACAATAGTACCAATCGATCGGGATATTGTTCCACTTCAAGGAGAAATGCTTTACCATATAAAAAATTATGCATAGCAAGGAGACATGGAAAAAGCACTATATATATGCATCGATGACTCATTGTTCTTCTACATATATTTCATTTCTCCTTGTCTATTATACACTTCTGCTAGAAAGGATAGAAATGGTTCATTCATTTCTCCTAGAAACTTCTACATGTCTATTACATAAAATCCATTTCTCCTAGAACTTCACGTTAAAATGAAAAATAATCTTATACATTTCTCCTTGTAATGTAAAAATAATCTGATCGATTTCTCCTTATATCTTGTACATTTCTCCTTGTGAGAATAGATATGATTGATGCGTTTCTGATCGAAAACATTTAGTGCTGAAGTGTACTTCGCTATGAAAAGCGTTTCTGCTTGACTTTGTATGGGGTAAAGGATTTCTACTATAAGTGGAATAATTTCTCGATTTTGGGGGATATCGTCCAGCCCTCAACTATCATTTCAAACTGTACAGATATTGTCTTCAGATGTTTAGAAAACCATATATTATCTATACGTGGATTACGTTACTTTCTCTATTGGCCATCATATTCATACATCTAAAGAGCAACTTGGCGAACTTACTACAAACATACAATAGACCATATGCTGGAAAAATTATTACTCACAGCAGTCAGCCCAATGACTGTCATCAATTTGACACTCGAATAACGCCAAAGGAGCTGTTTCAAGAGTATTTTGCAATTCTCGAAGATCCTTCATGGATTGCAAGATCAACAATGGACTCGATTTCGTTTGAACAGCTACATGCATTATTGTTTGGACCTAATGCAATCAATTTGTACGAAGCATGGCCGAATTATTTTAACAAAACGTTTGATGGTTCTTATCCACATACATCGCTTACACAGCCGTTGTTCGCTTCAATATTAAATGACACCAATTTACCTATTCATCTTGTTGTTGAAGTAGGAAGTTTCATGGGAAAATCATCAATAAACATAGGCTTGACTCTTCGCCATTATAGACGATGGCCAAAACCAATTTTACTTTGCATTGATACGTGGCTGGGTGGATTAGAGCATTGGATTTCTCCTGAATTGCAAAATATGATGCATATTGAATATGGTAGACCAATTGTGTACGAACAATTCATTGCTAATATTATAGCCAACAATTTAACTAAATCTGTCATACCTTTTTCGACCACCTCTATATTAGGAGCAAGATTTTTACTTGTTAAGAAGATTGTACCGCAAGTCATTTATCTGGATAGTGCTCATTTACAAGGTGAAACATATGTTGAGCTCGAACTCTACTGGGCACTTCTTCAACCCGGTGGACTTCTGATTGGAGATGATTGGAGCTGGACATCTGTACGTTGCGATGTCTTAAGATTTTGCAAAAGTATACAAGTCAACGTCACAGTGATAGGTAATAGCTGGTATATAAAGAAGAAGAAATCATCATAAACAGTTATTTATTCAATTTGATATTGTGATTGCTATTTTATAATGAGCGTTAAGCATGATATGTAGTTTATTATGAGGCAAAAAAATAGATCAACTGCTTTTTTTAGACATAAGTAATTTGATGAAAAGTAAATTGTTCATTAACTATTGCTTCCTAGACAAACAAGTTAGTAGTATTCCAACTATCAACTCACTTGTCTATGGTTCTGTTTGAAACAAGTTTGTAGAACGTAATTGTCCGACTCATGTAACATTATATTAATAATCTGTAAACTGCCATCATTGCAACAGATCCTAATTGCAGTAAAACAACATTGGTCCTATCAATGGTTGCAAAGAATAGATAGCGATTAATTCTTAAAGAAAGTCGATGTTATTTTAACATTCCAATCTTTAATTCATGTTCTTTTTTTCTGTTTCGCACGAAGATTGTTTGGCTCTGTAATATCAGACTTGTACAGCTCATTCTCACTCGCTTATTTTTCTGCTTGTTCTTAAGACTTTTGTTTTATTTACTTCAAAAAGCCGAATTTATGAAATTGCCTCGTTTTAATTTATCATCAAAAATGTTAGACTTTAACTAGTGGCATATCGAAGACAATCAAGTAATTCTATGAAAACGTTTTCTTGTAATAAGGTTATGAGGGTGAAGACAAAATCGGTGACTTTTTTGAAATTTGTTTGTTGTTACTGTTTACTTTCTGACATTTCCGCTTTCGACATGTAACATCCCAAACTCTCTCAAGGTAAGATATGATGTACAGACAAGAATGAATACTCTTTTTCTAATGGACTAAAATCTTTAATTTTTCTAAAATTATCTGGAAACACACAAAAAAAGCAATTTAACATTAGTCGTCTTTGCTTCTGAACAATTAAATTATTTATTACAATAGCATCGACACGACATTCCAGAAATATGTTCTGAAAATTGAATATCGTGAGAGAAACAAATAGTCAAAAGAAGGGATGTGTGCAAGTTTAAGCGGTTGTAGGATAGGTACGGATGAAGAAAAACTATACTGACACTCATATCTCAACACCCATAATTCGTTTTAAAGTAGAGATTACGTTGTATCTAACAAAAAAAGAATGAGGTTCCTATTCACCTTTTGTTCGAGTACAGTTGAGCCTAACATTTGTCCAAGATATTCTGCAACATTCTTTAATTAAGAATTTTTTTGAAGTGTTTCTACCTGCTCGATTTAACTCATTTTTTTTTCTTATCACAATTTTCAAAATCATGTTTTATTTAAAAATGATTCTACTGCAACAAGAAAACAACAAAAACAACAACAACAAGAATTACATATCACTGTACGTAAATTAAACTTTAACAAAGAAAAAACAACAGACATATACAACATTATTAAGCTGATCAAAAAGACACAAAGTATTTCATTAGATTTTGAAGATAAACACATAAAATATGGAAATATTTAACACATATTTCCCAAACCAGACGAGGCGGTAATGTATTTGTTAATAAATAACCAAGCACAAGACCAATGGCAAAAATTGTTAATGTAAAGAAAATTTTTGATATCGACGATTGTTGAACAATAACATTTTCCTTTGTAGGAGTAGACGGTATAGAATCAGTTGTTAGTGGAATTTTACGTTGTCTAAAAATTGAAGATGGCGATGGTTCTTCAATCAATGATGATGATGTTTTATTTTCGAAAGTCATTAATCTAGTCGGTACGGTTTGTGGAGATAATAACATTGACGATTGATTATTAAAATTAATTGGATTATTATTATTATTGAAATTAGTTGAAAATATATTTGATGGAACTTGTTGTAAAGTTGAATCAGTTTGTTCAAGCCATAAATTATTACGAAGAGTTGAAGCAGCAAAACGAAAACGTGACCATAATTGAGCTTGTCGTTGACCGAATAGAATTGATGTTGAAGATTGAGCAAATGAAGAGGAATTATTTAATGTTGAAAATGGATTAGCACCAAATATATTCGTTCGACATTGAGAAGGTATTGGACGCATATAATGACTATTAGTTTCACGGCTTGGCCACAAACAATTTTTGTTCACTAGAAAAAAAAAACTGTTAGCATAGTTTTTGTGGGATTAAAATATGAAACACGATGCGCCCTTGTGGCTAATCATAGGAAGATTGTTTTATTCTATCTGTTTTGAAGACACATTTCTTCATCATCATTTTACACAATCCTTCAGAAATCCAGTCAGAAAGTAGTTCACATATTATAACGAGATGTTAATAATATACGATCTTTGATAGTAGATCAACAATGCCTGTCATGGTTTGTAACGTTTCTATGGTTATGTTCTTCATAGTCTGTGACGCAGGATGAGGTAGTGATGCTAATGCGTCTTTCACGTCTGTGCGCGGAGAGGTTGGACAAAGTTCGGTTCGAATTTCTACCTCCACACTTAAACAGTTCCTGTAGATCGTGTTTCACAAAAAAAATATTAGCAATGAATTTATTAAATATTCAAAAATGAAAATCTTACATTTTCCTTCATCTAAACTACAACTTTCGAATCTGTCAGCTAATATATTAACACCATCCAATGGAGAATTGGGTGTTCTAAACAAAAGAAAAATCAAAAGAGAATGTTTTTTTCTTTCTCTAATATTTAACCTATCATTAGATGATGTTGTTGGTTCTTGTTTTGAAAATAAAATTGAATTATTATTTAAACTATTCGTTAATGTTGTAGCCATTCCAGTAAATGCATCAATACTACGTCGTAATGTTGATTGACGCCGTTGCTTAGGTAATGGCTCTGACGCAATTATTGTTTTTCCAATTGCTTTTGCTCTTGATCTTGTCATTGGAGGTTCTATTCTATTGACTGATTGTTTCTTTAATGGTGAATATGATCGTTTTTCGGCTGGATATCGAGGTGGTGGTCGTAAGTCAAATTCCGAATCACAATCGGACAAGAAACTATGTCTTGAATTTTCATCATCGGATGCAATACTACAACCTGAATTCCACGTCATGCTAATTCATAATCTAGAAAGAAGAAGAAGACAAAGAAAAGAAAAATGTTTTACAACAATAAAGAAACAAAGCAAACACAAGGTCACAGACAAACAAATAGCAAAACACAAAAAAATGACGTTAAGCATTTATAACAGAAACAAAATCTTAAAGATCATTTTTGAGTATTCCGTTTGTTCTCCATTCTTTGATATATGCGCATTAATTGTCTTCTTGCTTCACCATCAGGTAATAATGGTAATTCATAATATTGTGGAGCTATTGTTAATAACCACTCAGGTTTTATATCTGTGACTGTACGAATATAATTTTTTGTTGTTAATACAAATTCATTATATAAAACCCATTCTGGTTTATGATCGAGACAAGTCGATGGGTGTAATTGAACAATTTGATTGTCTTTTATTGTTAAATAATGTCCTGTTTTTTCTAAATGTGCTACTTGCATAAAAAATCCACTAACAAGTGCTTTACGAATATTTATATAATAATCCGGTGAAGTAAATTCAGTAGATGTACGCTTCAAATTAAATCTAAATGAACAAAAATGAAAAAAAAAAATGTTAGAAAAACAAACTCAACAGTAAATACATAGTTTACTCACCGATCCATAATACGTCCAAGTTGTGTTCGAACATTATCTGCGGATTTTAATGAACGATAATTAACAAAATTGGCATAACACCAATGATTATCTTCATGATTTTGTTTAAATGCATGATAAACATTTAACATTGTTAAATGATCACCGTCAATATGAGCAAAACGTGCTTTAGCTTCATCAGCTTGTTTGCGTACATCATTTGGTCGAACAAAACATTGTGGTACAGAAAGCATTGCAGTTAAAGATAAAATTTCATTTGAACATGAATAATCACATGATGCTATAACCATTTTAGCTAATTGTGGATCAAGTGGAAATTCAGCCATCATTGAACCTAATTCAGTTAAATCACCTTCATCATCAATAGCAGCTAAATAATTTAATAATTCTAATGCACGCATTAATGTTTCAGGTGCTGGTGGATCCATAAAGTCAAAATGAACAAGATCGTCAATACCTAATTTTTTTAATTGTAATACAACACTGCCTAAATTCGATCGAAGAATTTCTGGATATGTATTTTCATGCATTTCACTTTTATAGGCTTTTTCTAAAAAGAATAATAAAATTTCAATCAATTGCTGGAAAAAATGGATTTTGGAAAAGTTTCAGGAAATATATATTGCTTCATTTTTTACTGACTAAAGTATACGCTGAAAAAATGAAAAAACATTCAGAATATACACGGAATGTTGTTTAATAGCCGTGTTTTCAAAAAACAAACTTGAACACGTCTTGTTTCTGATGAGGGAAACTGTCAAACTTGAAAATTACTTTTCAGCTCGGACTCTGTCCATAACATACATCTCATCAGATAATAAAAGCTTCAAAAGAATAAGGACACCTAGACCGTCCCCTACAGAATCATAATCGTTTTACTGAATTTTTGTCCATAGATAGACCTGCTTGTAACTAGAATATCATGAAAATTTTAACTGAAAAGAATTTTTTCATCGCGAGATATTGAATTTCCAAAAAAAAAAACATATATTCTACGAAACATTCGAGGAGTTCAACTTTTTAGGACATTCTAGTAACAATCTACGGGCAACATTTCAGGCCAAAGTATCGCTATTTGATTCTTTTGTACATACCGTGTTATATAGGCTGAAATTCCAATAAAATGAGTATAACCCTGTAGGAAAGGTATTGATTCTCTTATTCTTTTAAAGTTTTTATTAACTCATTGAGATCTATATTATGCACAAAGTCGGAGTTCAAAGGAAATCTTTGAACGGCACTAAAATGTATCCTGTAAAAACAGTTTGAAATGGCTACAGTAGAACAAACTGATCGTTCGATATTTTTGGATTCTCTTCTATGCATTTTACTGTATTTTATTGCTTTTCCTCTTTTCAATAGATTCATGATTTAATTTTCCACAAGTATCTAGCAGCAAATAGTACCATAAGTCGTAAGAATTATTGAGGCAATTATTTTAAACTTTCTTTTTACAGAGTACCTTTTAGTACGTTTCTGAAATTTACTTAATAGTGAAAAAAAAGAATTTTTTCGGAATGTATTGTTAAAAGGAATGATTGTTTCAAATAATGCTTCAATTAATAAAAGAACTCAAGAGACATTATTTCAAGAACTTTTGCATCATTCGTTCAATTATTTTTCTACCTGTATAAAGACGAAAACATTTTCCTGGACGAGTACGTCCAGCACGACCAGCTCGTTGTTGCGCACTAGCTTTCGATATTGGTGTAACAAGAAGTGATTCAACTCGTATACGTGGATTATAAACTTTTTGCTTCGAAAAACCAGGATCAATGACAAATACAACACCATCAATAGTTAATGATGTTTCAGCAATATTGGTAGATACAACAACTTTACGACCAATAGCACCATTAGGTTTATTTGGTGGTGCTGGTTCAAATATACGTTGTTGTAAATTAGGTGGTAAAGTTGAATAGAGTGGAATACATTTAAGTTCACCAGCTTCAGGTCCTAAATTTTCAACTTCACGTTGAAGTCGTTTACATGCGTCTTCAATTTCTTCTTGACCAGTAAGAAAAAGAAGAATATCACCTACAATTACAGAAAAAAAGAAGAAAATTTAATTTGATCGATTCAAAATAAGTTCAGATAGAAGAAAAAAGTTTAGAAACGAAATATTTTTAATTTTTTCTTCCTGAACAATAACAATTAGAACAAATCGGAGAAAAGATTTCATAGGTTGAAACAATTTTCTATCAGTAACAGCACTTGATCGATTTTCACTAACATGTTTGTCGACGAAAGGTCTTTGGAAAATCAGTTTTCTGGATTCTATCAAAAACATTTTGCAAACAAGTTCAGCTAATAGAGCAAACATTTTTGAACAAAATAATATGATCCTGTGCTCACCACGACCTATATTCAACGAACGACAATTATCGCACGATAGACGCAAATAGCTGTTTTCTATTGTCTATTGTAAATCTTCTACGTATTACACTTTGAGCCTTTCGTAGAATGAGTGTAGTTCGCTGAAGATAAGTTGAGAACATCTACTTTTGTTCAGAAATATTTTCTTTATTAGCTGAACTTATTTTCTACTATGTTTTTGATAGAATCCAGAAAACTCGTTTTTCAAAAGCCTTTCATCCAAATCTACTAATGAGAATTTTTCAAGTACTGAAATAATTTCTTTGATGAATTCTACTGTTGAGCAAAACAAAGTTAAAAATGCTACATTTCTAAATTTATTGCTTTTAGTTTAATTTCATACCTTCTAGTTCTTCGCTCATATGAATTTGTACAGTAGTACGAATAGCTGCTTCTAAATAATCTCGTTCAGGTTCGGGTGTATAAAAGATTTCAACAGGAAATGTTCGACCAGGAATAGTTAATAATGGTGCTTTATCAAAATAATCTTGAAATTTACCAGCATCAAGTGTTGCCGACATAACTACAATACAAAAATAAAATTCATTTATAAATATTCTTCAATGAATATTTTATTTACCAATTATTTTTAAATCAGATCTTTGTTTAGCAACTTCTTTTAAAAGACCCATTAAAATATCTGTTGCCAATGTGCGTTCATGTGCTTCGTCCAATAATACACACGCATATGATTCAAGTAATGGATCGGACATAGCTTCACGTAATAACATACCATCAGTCATGTATTTTAAAATAGTTTTAGATGATGAACAATCTTCAAATCGAATTGAATAACCAACTTCTTGTCCAAGTGAAACATCGATTTCATTAGCAACACGTTGTGCAACCGACATAGCAGCAACACGACGTGGTTGTGTACATGCAACACCACGTCGTTTTTGTCCATTTAAAGTAGGTAATGAAAGAGCAAAATCAACACACCATTGAGGAATTTGTGTTGTTTTACCTGAACCAGTTTCACCAACTAGAACAGTTACTTGATTTTTGTGAAGTGTACTCATAAATGCTTCTTTATATTCCCAAACGGGTAATTGTCGTCGTTTTTTATATAATTCATGATATTGATGAGAATAAGGTTGCATTGTAAAACGATTAATATTAGAATTTGATGTTTCATTGAATTGAGATATTTTATTTGAATCTTTTGATTTGTTACTATTATTAAAATAATCTGTGTCAGATCCATCATCAAAACGACGTTTTCGTGGTTTATGTGGTTCAGAAGACGATGAAGAGAAACCAACATCGAGACGTTGCTTACGAGAACTCATTACGAAACTATTTTTACAATAAAAAAAAATCAAGCAATATTTTCCATAAATTACAGATGATTGCAGCAATATGCAACGATAAGGAACCAGAAGAAACGAAAGGATTATTTACTCATGCATTCTACCTTTATATATGTTGATTAATTAACTAATAATATAGTTCAATAAAAGATGTCACTGAATGATAAAAGCTAATAGGTCGAGTATAACAAAATGTTATTATTGTTTAATGATTTACTGACATCTAGTGTAGATATTGATACTTATGGTTGTGCATGAAACTTCCAAGTATAATAATCGTTATGTCATTTCATTTCATTTTAGTTTGTTTAATTAATTAATTTTGTTCTCAAATAATCAGCTGATGTCAAGAACAAAGTTTTTATTTAATCTAATTAATATATCAATCCAGCAAACATTTTTTCGTCCATGAAATATCATAAAGTTTAAATTTGTTTAAGATGATTTTTGTTGTGCATACCGTATCAGCATAGAAACGACGAAATTTAATTATATATACACATTGGGATTGAAAGACTTAGCATGCTCTTTTGATTTAATAACATACCCGTTTTGTATCAAAGAAATTCTAATTAAGACAAACTCTAGCGACTTTATTTCACTGTAGAGTATTCTAACGATAAATATGACGAACCAATGAAGTAGTGTTACCGTCGCTTTTTAGCCAATTTCTATGTCTAGGACAAACACTTAAACAAAAGAGGGA